TATCAGGTATGTGCAGTGTCCCAAGTTTTATTGAAATGTTATGATTAGTACTTGAGATATCAGTGGAAAAGCCGAAAATTGATTAATCATTATGTAAATTAGGTAATTAATAATATTAACAGATTTTCACCCAAAACTAATCAAATCTGCGCATTAGTTCAGAGCATCCATGTGCCAAGTTTCATTGAAATCCAATGAGTGGTTCTTCAAAAATCAGTGGAACAGTCATAGAACAGCTTAAAATCAGTTAATTATCATGCAAATTAGGTAATTAATATTCATAGATTTTTACCCAAAACTAATCAAATCTGCGCACTAGTTCAAAGCATCCATGTGCCAAATTTCATCAAAATCCAATGAGTGGTTCTTCAGATATTAGTGGAACAGTCTTGGAACAGCTAAAAATCAGCTAATTATCATGCAAATTAGGTAATTAATATTCATAGATTTTTACCAAAACCTAATCAACTCTGCGCATTATCCCAGAGCATCTATGTACCAAGTTTCAACAAAATTTGATTAGTGGTTCTTGAGATAACAGTGGAACAAAAAAAGTGACATACATACAGACATACAGACAGGGCAACTGCAAAGACTCCCTTTTGTGCTTCGCACACGGGAGTCAAAAACTACTAGATCTAGTGCTAAAATGGCACTAGATCTAGTGCTAAAACGGCACTAGATCTAGTGCTAAAACGGCACTAGATCTAGTGCTAAAATGTACATAGTGCGAGTGGCATTGATATCGCGTTGTCAACAACGTCAAGACGTACTGTGATTCTCTGAAAATAAATTAATATTTACGTAAAATTGTTGTATCTTTCATTCATTAGAAATGTGCTTCAGTTGGGAAATTGAGAATGTCGTTGTCCACGTTTGTCGTAATAGACCTTTGGAACAACGCGATCGGCCGGAAAACAAGGTGAAACAAATTGTGAATAGATATACTGTGTGAAATGGTTTTGTGAGGAAGTTTGTGTTTTCAACTTTGACGAATGAAAACATTATGTAAATGGTGGAATTCAGCGTTGCTTTTTTTTAAATCGCTGATGTGCCATTTTATTTCTGGTCGGCGCCACACTTAATGAAAATAGATCTTCGAAAATGAAATTATGATGCCATATGTGAACTAAATAAAAAATTGGTATACTCCTAGTCTAAGTCCCGGGTCCCTGTAAAGCTCGATGGATGTTGTGTGTACTGCGACCTGTGAATGGGCATATACATATTCACGCAATCCTGTTGTTATCATGGAGGAACTAACGAAATATGATGTAACCTCGCCGATTTTTTGATTTTTTAACGTGACCATATTATATATGTCTAGACACTTTCTCTGCAATAATATTTTTTAGGAGCCCTTAGGATTTGTTGTTGTAGACTCTCGAAATCTTGTTCTTGTTACAGTTGCTAATAATTAAAACATGTTAATGCTAAGAAACGACACTAGAGACCAAGTCTTGGCTGAGAGCAGAAGGGGTGTGAGCCACGGTCAAGCGTCGTCGCCGAAACCTGTTCCGTGATGTGAGTCGCAGATTTGATTCACATCACGGAGAGATTAGCGTGGTACTTAATCGAGGCCAGTCAACGCAGGGGTCACCACCCGACCGTCGTTGCGGATACCATTTCCGTGCACAGAGTCGCATGTTTGACTCTATTCACGAAGAATGGCAGCGTGTTAATCGAGTGGTGCCCGCATGCACTGCGATGACAACCCCCCTTAACTTTATTGAAATAATGTAGAAATGTAATACAGAATGATGCAGGATTTGAATGCTTAAATTATGAGGTAGTGGGTGGGTGGGATAGCTTGGAGACGGGTTCAGATCGCTTGCTGAACGTAGAATGACTATGCTAAGGCGAAGCGGGATACAGGAAAGCTTGACGATGCATGGCAAGTAGGATTAGGCAAATCACCGTCACGAGAGTATGAGCTTACAATATGCGTGTGAATGGAAATAGCACGGGCGAGGCGTGCACGAGATGGAAGGTCGCGTGCCTATGAATAGGGGCACACGTTGATGTCATGTGCAGGGGGATTACGACTGGCGTGTGTTGCGTAAGTTATGTGTTAGGGATTAAAACTGTGGCGTCGTTACCGAGCATTAACGCAGACTATGCTGACGCATAATCATACTATTAAGTAACAAGTTCGTCTGTTGAATTTCCGGTTGTGAAATACGTATTTTAACCCTTGACAGCTAAACAAACCCAGTGAATGGTCGCGTTAAAAAAAATGGTACCAAGAAATCGTCCAGGGCAATTTTTCGGCAGTTTTTAAATTTATTTTTTAAATTATTTTGTCGTAATTTATCAGACATTTCAATCGTTCCTGACGCCAAAATTAGTCTAAAATAAAAACAAATGTATTTAAAAAATAACACTGGGCGACACTGTAATGACATTCCAGGTGGTCTACTTTTTAATTCAGCAAGAATTATTAATTATTGTTAATTCTGAAATAGTTTCTTTCGTCTTGGGTGGCCCAACTGACGGCTTAGAAAGTCTGTGTAGTTGGATACAATGAAAATTTCCCTCAAAAAATTTTTGATAATTAGTTTTTGAACTTTTGAACCCCAAATGAGTGCCCATACCCCTTGAAATCCCCAGGGCGATTTTTCGAATGGCTGAATTTACGGCAGAATCCGGTATTATATAAAGAAAGTATTATTATGGACATCTCGCGCATATTGCCGATGTTTTATACTGTTTGTAGTTTGCATATGAAAAAGGTTGTTGATGCTCCTCCTATTATTCGACGTCGTTGACAATGCGATAACAATGCCACTCGCACTGTGCACATTTTAGCACTAGATCTAGTGCCATTTTAGCACTAGATCTAGTGCCATTTTAGCACTAGATCTAGTACTTTTTTGGATTAGTGCTACTAGCACTAGCCACTCGCACTACGCCCATTTCGACACATTTACATACATGAGATATGATAGAAAGAAATCTAAGACTGAATGGTCACAATTTCTTGTTGCCGAAAAGGATTGATTAAAATTGTTTGATATATATTGAAATTAAATATTGAAAAAAAATCATATTTTGTGAAAGCTGGCATGGATATCAAGAAAAAGTGAAAGATTTTTCAACATTGTGCATGTTTAGAAATACCAAAAAATGTAAATTTTGATGTGATGTTAAAAAGTTAGTAAAAATCGCAAAACTTTGTAGTAGTAAAAATTGTTCTTGAGTCCCAGAGTAAGTTTCACGAAAATTTTGTATTCTTGAGGCGGAGCTAATGTACTATGTCACAGAATACTACCGTATGTTGTTAAGACTATTGGGATATTTCTATTGGCTCTGTGCGCGCTGCTGTGAGACGCTGGTCGAAGAGCCGGTGAAAACAGCTAAAGTCGAGAAAACAGCACAAACTCAACTTTGAAGTAATCCCGAGCAACCAAATTTATATACCGTACTCGACTGCGTTAGCGCCCAGGGGCCTCAACTCAGAAAATCACCATTTTTTAGGGGTGGGCGCTTACGCGAGCACCCGCCTCGAAAAAGAGTGCAAATGAAAAATTTGATTCATCAAGTGACAGATTTTCACAATGAAGAAATGATCAAAAAAAAATATGCATATTTTATTACAATATTAATTACGTACCACCAGAATTTATGAAATTAAAAACATTTGAGTCTGTTGGAACACAGTTGAAGTCAAAATTGTCATATTATCTCCACTGACGAAGGTGTTGGATCGTACACAAACTCTCGATGAAAATCACTTTTCGCCATGATGCATTTGCAGAATTGACCTGCAGCAGCGTCCTTTGACCTAATGGGTCAAGTTGGTTATTAACCAATCAGAATGCTGTGTTGTACTGACACAATTCTTCGGAAATTCCCGAAGACTTTCCGGTAACGCAATGCGGAAGTGAATTATCGATGTCGAAGTTGGAATTGATTTCAGCAAATAAACGACATGGTTTTTCAAAAAAACTAGTAACTAGGCATTTTTGAGAGGTAAACTGAATGTGGCATGATATATTTATCGCATTTTACTTGTATTAACAGGTCATTGTCGAAGCGTAGTTTACGCACGGTTACCGTGTTCTACGCATTCACAACATGTTCACAGCGGTCGATATCCACGCTGTATCATATAAAAACGATTACCAAGATTCGTTACGCAAGACCAAGTTTTAAATTAGTTGCATTTTGAAGGGGTGGGCGCTTTGCCGAATGTGACCCCAAATATAAAAATTGCGCAAAAGTACGGGGTGGGCGCTTGCCTGGGCATGGGCGCTAACGTGGTCGAGTACGGTATGTTGCACATGCAATCTTTTTTACACTATTCATGGGAATCACTACTATCCCAAAGTACTGTTTTCTGAGAGTTTTCGGCCTTTGTTTTTACCAGATAGTTGCCAGGCGGTGAAAATTTTTGTAAAAATAAGTACAGGTAACACAGAGGAAAGTCCAATGAGTTTAGGTGAATTTATTACCTGCTGCTTCTGGTAATGTCATTGCTTTGACGTGTCCTTCTGCTACGTCACGTACATCTACAACAGCAAAGTTTATTTTAGCCAACGCTGGCATTTGTCGTTGAAGTAGTTTCTTGAGTACTACCATTGATGTACAGTCTGACCCACTAAGCATCGGTCCCATTACAAACGCAGGATTGATCACAGCTAATTCAAATTTTTCATCTTCTGCTTGTGAACAATACAAACACGACAATCAACATTTAATTAACATTTAGCGCATTTTTGGATACAAGTTTTGAACATAAATTGTACGTCAATGTAAAATATTTTATTTTCGCTTGGAATTAATTTTTGCTATTTTCGCAATGCTATGAAAGAATGATTTAGTGAAAATAAAATCCAGCGAATATACCTTTTTTCTTATATTTTACATTCAACTTGTCAAAAATCAGTGAAAACAAATTCCATACAAAACACCTAAAAATCAGCGAAAATTAATTCCAGCTAAAATAAAGTATTCTACAGTATTAAAAAAATGAGTACAACAATTATTTCCATACGTTGCCTGCTAACTTCTTTTTTCCACTGATTTTTGGAATGTCCGTAGTGCTTACAGCATGTAATATGTTAATTAGTGAGGGGTTGAATTTTTTTTAAATAGTACATGTAAACACGTACTCTCTTCTTCATTTCAAACAATGTACAGTACATAACAGATTGTTGTCTTTTTGCTGATTGGTAAAGCAAACATGATTTAATGCATAAAAGCATACAAGTATAAGTAGTGTGTTTCTTTAAATATATTACCAAGCTGCTGGTTAGTAGTTCATTATACAGTATTTAAATTTCATATTTTAAAAACATAAAAAATTACCTTCAACTTGTCAACAAAATCCCATGCAGCTTTTTCAGCTAAAGTCTTGCTCTTTTCATAGGTTCCGATCGTATCAACATTCGGCCAGTCTTTCTCAGAAAACACAACATTAGATTCGCCGGTAAATCCACCTAACAAATACAATGGTACATGTTAATAAACAACAAGTCATTGAAAATGACATACTGTAGAATACTTTATTTTCACTTGGAATTTATTTTCGCTATTTTCGCTGAAGGGATGATTTCGTGAAAATAAAATCCAGTGAATATACTGTTTGTCCTATATATTTCACATTAAACTCATCAAAAATCAGTGAAAATAAATTCCAAACAAAAGGCCCAAAAAGCCTTTCAGCGAAAATTAATTTCAGCGAAAATAAAGTATTCCACAGTAGTCCCTTTTTCAAAGTGATCTTTTGTGAGCTAAACACCAGACATCCCAAAGACAAGAATCAATGAATGATGTGTGAAAGAAAACAATGTTGTTTTGGTAACGGCCAAGAAGAAGAAGATAAATTATGATGTAACAAGTATTTAATACTAAAATTGGCATCAAATAAAATGGTCCATCGTCAATAACGACAGATTTCAATATTGAAATAGGATAATTTGTAAGAACATCGCCTGCTCGGTACGCTTAAAGCGTGTTCAGTCTGCATGTTCCATCTAGTATGTGCGCTGCTGGATTCTACAACTGATACTGCTGTCATGGCGACTGGGCGGGCACCAGATCGTGTTGTTGAACTAAGGTTAACCTGAGAGGATTTATCCAAGCACATGCGATAAATGAATTCAAAGTATGTCTGCAGAGAGTGAATACCGGTACACATAGGTGAATTTATTCTGGTTTTAGTAGTGATCAGTTGTACTACTTTATTTCCAAAACAAAACAAGTCACAGTTTGCATAAACTAATGAAAGTATCCTTGTTCTCAGGTGTGTGTTTCACATTAAAAGTCGCTGTTGTTTTTTCTCTACTAGAATAGATTACAACTGCAGGCTTTCCAGCCATGTTTGAATAGACTTATCGCTACACAGCAGAAAACGAGGGAGACTGGTGTACACACACTAACATAGCGTGGTGCCAGGTACATATATGTCGTATAAAGTGTGCTTTTGGCCTTTATGGGTTGGCGGGTCGTCCATTATTGTTTAATAATTCAGAGTGTATCTATCAGCCAATACAAAATGGTCGCCATCATTTCAAATTGATTAACACATAATAACTAACTTATTAAACTATATTTACTCAATACTACATAATAAAATTACACTTGAAATCATTCTAAAATCCACTCGTAATTTGACATATTACTCGAAATGAGCTGATAAAATACACAATAGGAGCCATTTTGAATTCAAGCAAAAAAAAAACCAACGGTGCCATCTGAATATTGAATAAAACGTAGTGATAAACACATTTCAACAAAAATATATTTTTTTGTATATTTTATGTATTGACAACCTGACATCAGGATCAAAATTAACAGGGAAACAGAAAGATACATAAAAATGTGTAAATATATTTAGTGCACTGCAAAAAAAACATTGATAAATCATGTCAGGGGAAGATCAACAAATAAATCAACCACTGCTCAACAAAACACATCAACTAACTGTTTAAAGTTTAAATAATAATATTAACTTTTTCACCGCCAGTTCCCTCTTTTCATGAAAAATTCACAAAATAGTCCCTTTTATAGTATGCACTTTCCTTCAGAAGATTGGAACAAACGTAGCCAAATTTTTTGAGTAAAAACAGAAAATTGACTCATATTTTGTCTGTTTGTTTCAAAATTGGGGTTCATTTCCAGAAATATTGAAGAAAATAAGAAAAAAAGTGCTAACAAATTTGGGTGAGAATGTCTGGTGGTGAAAAGTTTAACAACTAACTTGATATTATTGTGTGGTGTACAATGTTCCAATAGCTTAGCAGTAAAATAGTGTAAATTTCAAATTACACCAACAAGCATTAATATAATTAATTATTCATGAAAATATTGATTCAGATAAACAAATAAGTAAACAATTACGAGAATAGCGACACAGTAATTAATAATAATAATAATAACTTTATGAATGCAATAATTTTGCAATGTCTTTGTTCTGTGATTTTAGTAACACAGTAAGGGTTTAAAAAATTCCATTATCGTCTGCACTTTGTAATTTGCATCTTATGTTGCCACAACGTGTACGGTTATGTCAGTTTTATTTTTAGTATGATCTAGTTATCATGACAACCGCTATTATACACCTTATCTTATTCAGATTTATTTTACAAAGTACAGTTGTCAAAATAAATATATCTCTGCCTGAAATTCTAGCATTTAACGATAGCCATCAAAATTGGTACAGAGTCCAAGGCCAGCTCAAAATTGTCAGCATGATTCTAATTTTTATTCCAAACAGATTACTAGTATTCACATTAATAATAATTCTATATGAATATAATAATATATGCAAACATAAATAAAGTATCTGCCTAAGTATCACTAATGACAATACCTACCCTCATTTTATTCGAATTAAATATTAAATGTATTTTTTTAATTCAATATTATGAAAGCCTGATTTACTCTGCATTAAAAAGTGATAGAACACGTGTATTGGTATAGCTACATCAATATAGCATACGTGCTCAGATGCCAGCAATCAATCAAAAAGATTTTGTATTGATCTCTCAGTCAACCAGAAACTCGGATACATGCCTTCGGGAAAAGTCCCGTTTGGACGCTAACATCGATTTTTTTTTTCGTTTGGGAGAAAACCAAAACTGGTCGAAATTCTCGAATAAGAATAAGCTGGCAATTTCCAGTGAAGTAGAAAATTTGGTGTCCGAATTTTTAGAGGGGTAAAATTGTAAAATTTCTACGGTAACTGTACGTAAATTATGATGTGGGATAATCAACATTTATATCCTAATAATAAACAGGTGTATTTTTTTGGTTAAAAAAAAATCAAATAATCACTAGGTAGATTCCAAATTCACTGATTTTGGTAGTAACTGCAAAGCTATAGAACAATTCTATGAGAGGATTTTCTGAAATATGCAAGGTCTGAAACGCTTGTTTTCTAATTTTCCTAGCTGACTGTAGTTACATTCTACAATATTTAACTTAGACTCAAAATAATGCTATTTAATATAAATTCAATATGTATATCTCTGGTCAGCACTATGTCTTACTTGGGTGGAATGATTACTTAAGGTAGAAGCCTACTCATAAATTAAAAAAAAACAGAATTTATTCATTTTGCAATAAATTGTACTCAAAGGCAATATAAGAATATTGACCTGAAAAAAGTTGGAGATCACCAGCCTTTTTTTTTTTTGAGAAATTGATGGTTGTATTTTAGTGGAAAGTCGCCATTTTGACACTATTATAACGATTTTACCACAGGTTCCTATGGCAGTGATATTATGCAATATCTCAAAAACTAACCTGGTGACATAGGCTGAAAAAATCATATATTGTTAATGAGGGAGTATATTTTGTTGTTCTGAATTATTTAAAAAATCTGGGTTTTAAAAAGTGTCAAAAAATACAATTTTTCTTTAACATTGTGTTCTATGGAATAGTTCTAAAAATAACAATTTTCAAAAAATATTAGGACACGTTTCTCAAAAAGCATAACTGTAACACACAAAATAATGCTATTTCATTGTACCATGGGACATTAGCATCAAGATTGTACATAATAAACTAATGAACATTGTCATGCGATTTATGACCAATTTTGTTAAAAATTATGAGTAGGTTTCTACCTTAACTATTAAATTAATTTCTTATTTCATTTGATTTTCACTATTTTCAATAATAACAATTAAATAAAAATTCCAGTGAAAATTAATTGAATGGTGGTAACCTTCGAGATATTCGATATGGGTCCCACACAACATATGACAAATACAAATGTATTATATACACAGAATTTGAATATATGATTTCCACCAAATTTAGTGAAAATAAAGTAAATGTACAAGCATAAAACACACTCACCGCTAACTGCAGCTATAGAACTTGTGACAACCACTCTCTTCACAGTACCCGCATTCTGACATGCTTTAAGGACGTTGAGCGTACCTTCTAAAGCCGGTTTTATTATCTCATCCTCATGCTTTGGAGCTTCACTTGGGAACGGGCTGGCAACATGAATCACATGACTACATCCATCTACAGCTCTGAAAGATAAACACAATAATTTAGTCTGTAGATGCATGACTGTAGTCGCAAATATTTATATTACCGTAAAATCTGTATTAGAAGCTACATCCCTAATAGAAGTCGCATTGATTTTTTTGAACAATTGAAAATCAAAAAATCACAATTTCTTATATGTGTAGATGCTTGAATAAAAGTCGCATCCCCTCTGTTGCATTGTACCACAGTTTCTAATACAGATTTTACAGTATCGGTATATGCCTATTAAAAAAACGTATCTTGCATTTGCAAATGGTGTTGTAGCAATGTCAAAGATTGTTCTATTGCTGTTTGGCAAGGAATGGTGATACTTTAGTAGTACTCCTGAGTGTTTTGCTGACATCAGTTGTGCTCAAGGTGGAGTACTGATGTGGATTATTGAGAGCAATTTGTATATTAATTTTGTTTATGTGAAAATATTCTTTGACCAATAGTTTATCACTGACATATCCTATGTCTAGTACTCCTATCCTACTGCCATCACCCATCGTTCCTGTGATCCCCGTGGTTCATGTATGAAGACAAAAAAGTCAGTCAAGAAAAAAATAGCACATTCGGCTAACCCCCCCTCTGCTATCAATAAAATATGAAAGTGCATTATTGTTCACCCCTCAAACTCACGGTTTCCAGCTTTCAACGTCAAGAAGATCAGCTTCAACCAACTCTAGTTCATGCTGCGCATCGGGACAAAGGTTGAGTAGATGCTGGACTTTAGTTGCATTCTTCTTACTTCTGACAGTGCCACGAACACGATAGCCATTTTTAAGTAACTGCTGTACAACATGAGAGGCAATGTATCCTGATGCCCCAGTGACTAGAACCACTGTAACAATAGATTACAATATACATTGCATGACTTTTATATTTTTTCGTTACTTGATGAGACCATTGGTGGGGAACAATATTTCTCCCACTGTCACTGTGACCTTTCTGTCTTGAAATCTCAAAGAAATTTTTGTTTGTTTACAAATTGTGCATAATGGTACAAGGGTAGACATGGCTAACATACTTTTGACACAGAAATGTTTTTTGTAATTTTGACATTTTATTTTCTGGGATACCCAAGTTATTGCTTTAATTACTGTAAAATAATTGATTTCCAATGAACGGATAAATCAGTAAAAACAAGCCATGTATGGCACAGTCCTTGTTAGCTATCAAACTTTATATTATAAAGATTTATAATTTTGTTTATAGTAATATAGTTCAAACATAAACATGTCAGAGATATGGATCCAGAAGCTGATGCTTGATTATGGTGATTTTTTAAGACTGAAAATATTGACATGCAATCATCTTGTATCTGATCATCAAATGCATACTTGTCCATATCAGAGGTACATTACTTGGGGTTTGCAACTTGCATAGTACTGTATGGTGACATCATGTCAAGATCCCATTCAAGTCTCTTCTCGTAGATAGCGAGACTGAGGCTACGACCTTCTGACATGACATATATCAATGTTCAAGGTTTGTAATGAAAAAATAAAACTTTTCTTGCCACTATCATAGTGAATCAAAGAAAGCTTAGAAAGAACTCCCATGTGCTGAGAGTATTGGAGACACATTAAATATAATTCGAAATTACTTAGCTGAAAACTAATTATGCAAATCAGAAAATTAATATGAACAGATTTGAGTGTATAACTAATGAGGTCTGCGCAATGTAACAGAAAATCTATGTTTCCAAGTTTAATTGAAATGTGATTAGAACCCAAAAATTATGAATTATTATGCTTATTAGGGAATTAATATGAACAGATTTTTACCCCAAACTAATTAGGTTTGTACATTGTCCTAGAGCATCTTTGTACTAAGTTTCATTGAAATGGAATAATTAGTACTTTAGATATCAGTGTGAAAGCTTAAAATTGGTTAATTATGCAAATTAGGTAATTAATATGTACAGATTTTAACCCACAATTATCCAGGTCTGTCTATTGTCCTACAGCATCCATGTACATTCATTGATATGTGATGTTTAGTACCTGAGATATCAGTGTGAAAGTTGATTAATTATGCAAATTAGGTAATTAATATGCACAAATATTTATCG